TCCTGCCTGGCAAGAAGAGGGAGTATTTTTCTTCCTGTTGGGCTGTGCCATCATGGTAGGGCAAGACAGCTTTCCCTTCTGGCCTCCTGGCTCTGTTTTATTTGAGGGTACTGTCTATTAGTTTTTTATACAATATGGAAAAAATGTTTTCTTACATCATAGACAAAAGTCATTTCTTGAGATGATAAAGGATCTGAATGGGGAAAGCAAATCTTTAAACTTTTAGAAGAAAATATGGAAAAATATGAAGAGTATGACCTTGAAATATAAAATAATCTATTTCATATATAAAAAGCACAAACCCTAAAAAGGAATTTTGATAATCCTGCCTAAATTAAAATAAGCATCGTCCGTCAAACAACACTAAACACAATGAAAAGCCGGAGACTGAGAGAAGAGCACATATAAAGTAAACAAAGTCTCAGTATCCAGAATCCATTTATCTTGTAGCTATTGTGTAGATATTTAAGAAAAGTATATGTAAAGAAAGAAAAACAAATTAAGAAAAAAGCAGTTAAGGATATGAATAGTCATTTAACAGAAGAAAATAACTAAACAATTGAGGAACATATTAAAATGTGCTAATTAAAGAATGATCCAGGATATAAAAACTATAAGCTTGGTACTGGTATTAGAGTGACTGTGTGGTTTTAGCCCTGAATACATATTGTTAGATGTTTAGTTTTTACATAGCCTAAGTGGAATTACTCCCTTTTTAGTAAACAGGAGTATCATTTAATCCTCATAAAGTCCTATAAAGTAAGCATAATTAGTGTGTCATTTCATTGATATAGAGAAATGCCCAGAAAAATCAAGCAACCGCCTACATTTACATAGCAGGAAAGGACCCATGTGGAGCTACAAAACCAAGGAATCTGGCTCTAGGTTCCATTTTTTGTTTGTCTGTTCTATTTTTTTTTAACTATTATGCTCTTCTTTCTCTTTAAATGAACAGTGGCAAAATTGTTTCTTCGTTACTAATCCCAGTAGCTCTTATTTATTTTTTCCCACCAGGCTTGTCAAACAGCTGATAACAATGTTAACAGAAGCTTTAATAGCAGGCATCCTTTTTCTATTCTCAACTTTAAAAGAAATACAACAAACATGTCAGTCTCAGGAACCACATTTGTTTTAAAATTCTGTCAGAGCTACTGTAGAGCATTGTGATTAAGGACAGTGGGTCTAGATCCATGCTACCTGAAATTAAGACCCAGTTTCCTCTATTTCCTGATATCTAAATTCTCCATTCATCTGTCCTCCCCTAAAAGTGGAACACAACTGTATCTACCTACAAAAGTCATTACAGGAGTTAAATAAGTTAGGCCACACAAAGTGCTTAGAATAGTGCCTGGCATGTACTATTTACTCAATAATATTGGCTACACACCAGACTGTGATGACAAATATGAAGTTATTTTAAATTTATCATAATTACTTATGTAGTTGGATTTACTTATAGATTTATGTTTGCTATTTACCCAGCTTTTCTAAGCATTTTCTTACTCCTTTCTTGCATTTGACTAG